CACGGAAATAGAAAACTCAGTTTGTGAAAAAGATCTAGGTGTATTTGTTGCAACGACTTGAAACCTAGAAAACAATGTATTAGCGTTCGCAACAAGGCAAACAGGATTCTTGGGTTCATATCTAGGTCTGTGAGTAACAGAACTGCTGACGTTATCTTGAAACTTTACCTAGCATTAGTGAGGCCACACATGGATTATGCGGTTCAGTTCTGGTGTCCTTATTATAGAATGGACATAGATTCTTTGGAGAGAGTACAAAGAAGAATGACAAAAATGATCCATAATATTAGAAACCTTCCATATGAAGAAAGACTGAAAAGCATTCATTAGAGAGGCGTAGAGTTAGGGAGATATGATAGAGGTGTACAAGTGGGTAAGTGGGATTAACAAGAATGGAAGATGTTCTGAAGCTCAGTAATAACGAAATAACTAGAACAAATGGCTTTAAATTAGATAAATTCCGATTCAGAAAGGATATAGGCAAGCACTGGTTTGGTAATAGAGTTGTGGATATGTGGAATAGGCTACCAGAGTGCTATAGTAGGATCGGGGACGCTAAGGAGCTTCAAGACGAAGTTGGATAGGCACATGGAGTGCTGGGATGGGTGTGAAAGGGATCTGCCCTGTATGGGCCAGTCGGCCTCCTGCAGTTCCCACTTTCTTATGTTCTTATGTTCTTATGAATAAGCTTCTAAAACATGTTATTGAGCAAAACAAAGGCCATATACAGAAGAATCACACAGCGACGTTCACCTTCAAAATAATATTAATAAATTAACCAGAAGAGTCAAGAAAAATACAAGTAGAGCAAAAAGACACTATGAGGATACCGTAGCTTGGGAGGTACAGATAAAGCCTGAAGCAAGGGTTCCCAACTTTTATCTTCATTTTAATTACACATTTTTAGAAATTTGTCATTACTGAGAATAAACTCACAAAAAATATTTTTTTTATAATAGACAAAACTTTCATATATTTATATTGATAGAAAGCCAGAACAACAACAACAACAACAACAACAACAACAACAACAACAACAACAACAATAATAATAATAATAATAATAATAATAATAATAATAATAATAATAATGATAATTATTCAACATTCAGTAATAAAACATCATTTATATTACAACACTTGGGCACACAACATGAGTGACTACAATACTGTAACAGATAAAAGTTATCAGATGGTCACTAAATATCACAAACATCCTGTGAGGGACCACCGACAACCTCAAGTGCCTGCCGTTAATTAAATAATTTTACTAATACAATTGTTAGATCAGGAGAGGGTCATCACATAATCACTCATGAACTACTTATGTTCACATGAAAGTCATCAGATAATCTTACTAGGAACACCTAGATGATTTAGGTGATTGTCGTCAGGTGGTGATGTATGGGTGAGAGGAACGCAACTTGTTCAGTTGAGACTTAAGTAAGATAATCTTTTGGTCGAGCGCTCTTATATCTTCTCTCAGGTGTTGTTTTTCATTATTCTTATGGACGATACTTGTGTAAACTTTAGCCATGTTCTGGGATTTTTTTTCTCTGTTGTTTTTGGCTCGTAGTGAACGAACTCGCTGACTCTCTAATACAGGGTCGGGCTGGGGCGGCAACTCGTACATCTTGGTGTTGTGAATCTTTGGCAGCTTCAGCAGTTGCGGCAAGATGACCACCCGACCATTCTGGCCACACAAGTGTTCTTCACCTCCAGCTAAACCTTCAACACTGGTCGTGGGAGTGTGGGGAACATCAGCCGTGGTTGTCAAACTGTTAACATTGGTCATGGTTGTATATAGGCCGTCACTCATCGTGTCCTCACAATACTTCTGGTCTTCTCTGATGGTTCTTGGTATCCCCGTGTTCATGTCGTCGAAAATTACAAATTCGTCATTATTTTTACAATGGAAAATTCCAGCAGGAGATGAAGGTGTTGGTAGTAGTAGAGAACTGTGCGTCCCATAGTTCTCTGATCTTGTTCCATTATCAAACAGATCTAGATCAAGTTCATTAAGAATATCGTTGTCATTATATGACATAGTTGACCGATCTGTAAACATTGATGAGTTCCCTCCACCTGAAGTCATGGTCGCCACTCTGTAATGTATTTGAGTAAATACTTTGGACTGACTGAACTGTCGTGATACATTGTATATATATATCCCTTTATTCGAATAACCCATGAAAGCCCTCAGAAAAATTCGTTTTTGTTTCATTAAAAACAATTTAAATCGTAATCTACAGTAGATCCCGTGAAGGTCATTCGGATTTTCCCGACTACTGTCAACACAACGTAGTGTAGGTTTCTCACGGACGTAGTTCTGCCGTGACATAAACAGGAAATTTCACCCGAAAAACCACGTATGGATCTCATGTACAGCTTAAGCGGTTTACGTTCATCATTGCAGCTGGACATTATTAGAGAAATGAACATAAATATGATTTACACTTCATAAATAAATGTGTATTTGATTGTGCTATGTTTTCATTTATATGCATTTGACTGGACAACCTGTAACTGTCCAGTAAAAATAGCACAAGTAACAGTAACAATAACTGGAGTAACAACAACAATAGCAGAAGTAACAACAATAATAACAGTATTAACATTAATAACATAATTAACACAAGTTACAACAACTATTATAATAACAAGAATCACAATAGCAGTTACTATGATAACAGAAGCTGCGGACATAACAAGGACAACAGCAGCAACAACAACAATGATAACAGCAATATATCAACGATATAAAATATAAAGCTTTATCAACAACCAACACAGGATTAACAATAATATCACCAACAATAACAACAACAAAACAAAATATTTTGTACAAAATTATTCATATGAAAAAAATACTCACAGCAACGCAATTACATTATATATAATGACGTTTTTGTGTTGAAGTTTATTTACGTCACAGAACACGTGTGAGGTCACACCTTATTCTTGTGGCGCCGCGGGGCAGGAGGAACAACAAACTATGACGTATCCCGTTGAGACAAAGCTGCTTATGTATATATATACGAGTATATTATGTCTCACTGTTAAACCTATTTTCACATGAAACAAAATTAATGGAAAAAAGTGCTTTATCTGCAGACACATTACTTGGGTAGTGAAACTTTGAGTTTTATTAAGTATGTGATAAGTATACGTGTGGGTCAGTGGGCCACCAACATGCACTAAATTTAAGTAAAGAGCGAAACGAAGGCATCCGGTCAACATTCAACCTTGAGTGAGTTACATCTGTTACATACAGAAGGAGCTACAAGTAGTCTAGATTTCTGCAGGTCAAATCTTACCAACTCCCATCCATCGCAGGCAACTGCAAGTCAAGATCAGCCCATGTTTCCCTGGCCGAGTGATGCTTGTCACTCAGCAGTTGGTGAACAGATGGCGTCACTTATTGGACGGAAGGTGAAAGTATATGAATGGCCACCCCAGAGTGACCCCGAACTGGAGAAGAAGAGAAAACGAGCGATAAAGGCCTTCAAAAACCGGATGAGAGGCAGCCAGCAGGAGGAAGAGCAGTACATGAAGCTGGACACCCTCACCCAGGAGGTGTCACACCTCCAAAAGAAGAACACACACCAACAGACCATGCCCAGCCATGCAAGCCTACATCAATCACCTGGCGGCTTCATCAACTCCCCCAATACAATGGTAGAATCTTGGTACATCCTTCCTAAGATTCTGGTAGGATTTGATGTACTATATATTCCTCAAAAGTCACCAGTCTGGATATATTTGCACCACAACACTGATATGACGTCCCCAAATGTCTGTTAAATATTGATATAGAGGTCCAACATATGATTTTTTCCATAAAGTATATTAATAACATGTTTCTCTTGGCACAGGTGACACCTGGTGATAA